GAAAGAAAGAGAAAACACAAAATTTTTATTTTATTGTGGCATTTGTGATGAAAAATATCTTGTTGAACTGAAGAGCAGAAGCAAGTAGGAACCGTAAGTCCACTCTGCAGGTGGTTGTGTCGGAAACGAAATTGTACAAAGCTTTGATTTTGCCACTAAAAGTTCCAAATAGCAGAGCCCAAATGCCCTGTGGAGAACATATATGGAATCCTGGAGGTGAGACTGGGAATCCCTTTTTGCTCTGTTTTTCAGTTCCATCCAGATATGTATGCAGATCTAGAAGCAAGAACATGTCATCCTTGCTAGAATTTGCCTTGTCTAAAAAACAACCATTTATCTGATGTTATAATATATGTTTATTTGCTATTATTAACATACATTGCATTAGTGCCAGAAGCTGCAATCTGATTAACACAGGCAGTTGGACATTCAGACAGATAAAGAGGTTTGATTTATGTGTAAATATATGTGTGTGTGTGTGTGAGAGAGAGAGAGAAAACATAATCCATGTGTAAGTGGATATCCATCTAATGTCTAAAAATATCTACGCTTTCAAGCTCTGATTTGTAAATTCATAGCTGAGAATTTGTAAACTTTCTGGTTACGGTACCAAAAAAGCCAAGTTACTTAGGAGAAGTGTGAAATAAGCGCTATTAGAAAATGTGTGAATGCATAATTGAAATACATTTTCAATTAAGCATGCTCTGTATGTTCCTGAACAGAGCTGCTATTCACTTGATGATTCCTGATACGTAGAAATTAGGATCACTTTGAGAAAAGATCAGAAATTTTTTTTCAGACCAAAGAAGCAGTTTTCAGTTTAATCTTTCAGTATTGATATACTTAAAATATTTTTACTCTTCCTAGTTAGATGTTGTGATTAGACTTTTTTGATAACAACTTGAAAGTGTATTTTATCTTCTTTTAAAGTCACTTGTTTTCTCAAGGCAGAAACACCTTTGATCATTTCTAGCTCAAGATTGGATTTTAAAATGTTTATAGAGTCAGCGATTTCCCTGCCCCCTTCCCCCTAACAAATAGTTTTAATTGGCTTTGAAGGTATTTCAGGTGCTAGTTTTGCTGACAAAACGTAGAGATCAAGGTCATTCATTTCCCCTTGAAGTGGATGCAGTCAAGTGATTTCTTTGACTGACTTTCCTTTTTCTTCTTGCTTTTCTTTTTTTTTCTTTTTAACTGCACAGTTGTTTTTTTTTTGTCAATTGCCACAGAAAGAATATACATTTCTAAGCTGTTTTTTAATAATTTTTAATGTTCTGTTATTTAATTTTCTTTCCTCACCTGTCTTGAGATTTGTGCATTCTCTTTTCCTGTGGACAGTGTCCTATTCAGGATATTGAGTGATCCTGGTGAGGATTACTAATGCATTTGGATCAAATTTTTCTACCTTTATCACACAAGAGGAATCAATGCAAATGCAATGGTCAGTGGGGCTGGACTTTGGAAAACAAACTCTGCTGAAGTTAATAATCTTGTAACAGCTCTTGGTGAACCCACAACATTCTTGATTTTTATAAAAACAGAGTTGGAGAACTCAATTTTAATATTTACATATGTAATTATTTTTCTAAAGTTATGGCATTTTGATACATAAACTAGGAGTTTAACCTGGTTTTGCAAACTGCACAGCCTTGTGTACTTTTTTTCCTCTGACTTCCAGAAAAGTAAGTTGCCAACAACTAACTATTTGATATTAGGTAGCAACTGGAAAAGGAACATAGAATGTCTGTAAAATACAAAACACATGAATATTTTACCTTAGTTATTGATACAATGACAATAAAATACAAGCTTGATTTCTGAGCAGTTTCTGTTGTTGACCTTCACAAACTAAAGCTGATGTCAGGTAGAAGGGTTAGGTAGTTGGGTGTAAACCATCAAGAATTGCGGAGTCACATTTTTTCATTGCAGCTACTAATTAGATATCCTGAGGCTCACAGGCTCTGATTGACATTATGTGACTACTCCTTTTGGTGAGGATTATCTGCCTGGATTTGCTGGGTCAGATACTTAATCTGTGAGTTTCTCAGAGTGTGGCTCTGTCATTTTGTCCAAGCAATACGCATAATCATTGTAAACAGAAGAAATAGCAAAGCTGATAAAATTGTTATGTACACATTATTGTGAGTCCAAACTGCCAGAAGTATCCTCCTTCTGCTGCTCAAAGTATGAGAAGATGCAGCAAATATGATTTTTTTTTTTTTTAAACTTTTTTGGAGTGTGGCTTGGCAAGGCTGTATGTTGTTCATATAAGACAAATTAGTTACGCGAGGTACTTTTTCTTCCGTTTTTCACTAGATGGAATACACAGGCTGTGTTAACACAGAAATGATAGCTCAATATTTTTTTCTAGAAATAGTTACAGTGCAATAGTTTCTTTAAGTAAATAATGGATTCTTTGGGTTTTCTGTTACATCTGTGACAGTTGACGCTTTTAAGGATATTTTAATATTTGTTTGGAATCTTTAGCTATGTGCTTTTTTTATAAGATGAATGTGAACACGAGAGGCAATTACATTCATGATGATCAATACAAGGAATGGAATTGTTATGTTCTCTGTAGTGTATATTATAGTTACCATGTAACTTGTTGGGAAGGAATGTGTTAGATTATTACCTCATCTATCTAAAATGTTTTAAAAAATTTGGAAAATTTTTCTCAAGGGAGCTAGCAACTATGTAACAGTGTAATCCATATAATTAGGCACATTGTTATTCACTGAGCAGCCACACAAACTCACTTGCCTTATATGGAATTTTCTCATCTCTGTTATGATTTTGTTGCTATTTAATAAATATACTTTCCACATATATATTGAAAGGTTTTATGGGAAGTTGGGAAAGCCTTTTTAGTGGTGGTTGGAGGTTTCAGTGGGCCTCTTATTTCTATCTTTTTACTTTTGCTGTTGCGAAAGTCTTTTGAAAGCTCTCTTGTCCTGTAACAGATGTTGAATTTTAAAATACAACCTGATACAAACTTCTGAAGATCACAAAACTTTCTGAACAGTTGTGAGTGATTTATTGACTAGTACAGTACTATCAGAGCTCTTTCTTCTGATTTGCTGGTGTTTGCAAAGACACTTGCATTCACAAAAAGATTATATGTGAAGGGAGTATGTGGCTGATGTGCGGAGTAAGAATAAAAATGTTTTGTATTTCTGTTAAAGGCGCGGTAAATGTTAAAATCAGCTACTTAATAGCTTAGTTTTTCTTGCTTATTGATTGCTGAAATGACACAGATATATATATGCCTGCAAGGTCTTGCTGCAATGTACACTGGCATGTGATGTTTCAAAGCCTTTAGAGTGCATTGACATCTAGTTGACATCTAGTTGCATGCTGACAAAGAAAACAAAATCTTTTGTGGTAAAATCAGCCAGATTAAGTTTATATCAGTTTTGCTGTTTTTTCCAATAGAACTTTGGAGTGTTTTCTTTCCTTCTTTCCCCTCCCTTGAAATGAGAAGATTATGGCATGCATTCAGGAAATTTCTGAGAAAGTAAGGCTTTTAGCTGTCAATCAATATGGCTCTGAGGATGTCAAGGTCACCAGGAAGAAAAAAAGCTCCAAATAATAATTAGATGATGTAATTGTCATGACTTGTCTGAATAACAAAGACGTGTTGGCTTACATTCTGGAATGCATATTAGAAAAGTTTTCAGCTAAAAATGTGTTTTTACTTCATCATCAAGAATATTTGAAGAATTTGTATATAAGATATTGACGAATGCTAAACTAAGACGTTGCACTTATTATGGGGTATTTTCTAATCTCTCCAGGCTATATAGTTGCTGTAGGTGTAAGATTCTACGTTTTTAACTTTAGTAAAATTCCTTTTTTTTTCCCCCTCCCTTTTCTTTTTAAAGGTGGCTTTGGAGAGCATGGAATTTCAAAAAAACGAGGTGCCCTCTATCAGCTTATAGACAGGATAAGAAGATTTGGCTCTGGTATTTTCTCTGTTTAAATTAGCAGGTTGCCTGATGTGATAATGTGTCATGAACATTAACGATGGTATTACTTTAATGCTTTAAAGCCTTTCTGTATTACTGTTGGGATAAACAAACTATAAAATAAATAATGCAAGAATCGCAATGAAGAGATAGTTCTTTGTCACATTCTCTTACAGTTCTATTTTCAGCATCAAATCTAGAAGCTACAATTCGTAGTTTTAAATCTCATATTAATAATTCCTTAGTTTTTTTGTATGGCTGTGTTCACAGTTATCAGTTCAACTGATATCAGTACAATGTCTTTTCAGTACGGGTAGGCTATGCTGCCTAGCTGCTAATTTTATGGGTTTTTGTCTGGATCTGGTTGGGGCATTCTGATGATTCATACTGTGTTTGAGGCATTTATGGTGTGTCATACCGAACAACACATTTTTATATTAATCGTACTCTTGTCCAGTATGAACATAGTTGAATGCAGCAGTCTATATATTATGGAATCCCCATTAATACTGGCTCAGTTTACTCACCATATTTGATGCAAGGAGATGTCACGTTAATGTCATGAAACCTTAACCACAAAAATGAAAATACGTGAAACTCCATTGTAATCACACCACATTATATCTAAATGCATCATTGCATATCTTGTAACACTAACCAGAGCACAGTAACCACCTTTGCAGATGTGCTCTGCTATATAATCTTCATTCTTTATAGGAAAAATACAATTTTAGTATTGCATAAATGCTGTCATCCTTTGTATGTAATTTCTTACTTCTGGTTCAAGGAAAAGATGATAAAAATAATTTTGAATGGTAAAACATCTATATTAACATGTGCTGTGGTTCAGTAATGACTGCATATTAAGTGTAACAATAGGTTTTCTCCAAAGTTTCTACCTGTGTGTGGACTGTTGTGTAATTATCGTTTGCACCCTTATTTAATTACAGGAATGAGTTATTTGCTTTACCTGAGTGATTTTTTTAAATCTAGAAATTTCCTATATAATTCCTGGTATAATTTAGGTTATGTGTTAGTTATTATAAAGGCAGGCTTATCTTGCCTATCAAGAGCTTTCTCCCTGCCTTGTGCTGTAGTTTCTTCCCTTTGTTCCTTCTGCTGCGCTCCCAGCCCTGGGGCTATGCCAGGGTAAGGTACCATGATCCTGCCCTGGAGTCCTCCCTGATTCTGACCTAGCCATTAACACTTAGGTGGAACTGGTATCATGGGGGCTGCTCACAGAGGGAAGGTGTACTCTTCAATGAGGAATAAAACTTCAACCCCACTGAGCAGGATTTGTTGACTGCATTTCAAGTGATCCATTTTAATCAGCTGCCCTGATGTCCATACTAACTTACAATTGCTTTAGAAGAAGCACCTGTTAAGGTGTGCAAGTCCTTGTCTAACTATCTTTATCCTCTTCTGTTGTCACAGAAAGTGTTGGCTGGTTTGGGTAAGATTTGCCTCTAATGGTGGCAACACCTCTGAAAACAGTAGACATTTTTTGGTCTCGTAAAGACATTCCAGCCGTGAGTTATGCTTATCCATAGGGTTTCAAAAGCTCATTTATGAAAAATGTATATTTGCATTCTGAAGTGTTGTAGGATTATTATCAAAACTAAAGTCATATTTTCATCTGAAAATGTATCTACTGTTAATAGCTACAGGTAATGGAGATCGGACTTTTTTCACGTGTATACAACTTTGAAAATAATTTATCTATTTTTTTGCTTGTAATTCTTGATAATAAAAGCCAATCTAATACTTTAAGGACTTCTTTCTGTCCACTACTTTAATGGTGGTCATGCACTTGCTTTTTCCAGATGTTGCAATAAAAACGAAAGGGACAGTGAATGCCGTGATTACTTTGGGTCTGTCCAAAGCCTTTCTGTCTTTGCTGGAAAAATCTTGGTTTATTGAAAAAAATACATAGTGAGAGTGATTTTTTGTTATTATTATTATTATTATTGAGATAATTTAGATGAAAATATGCAATATGTCTTCAAGCTGATAAATATATGTGCAAATTGTTACAGTAGGTATGTTTGGAAAATGAAGATTTAGTCTCTTCATTTCAAGCTTTTCTCAGAAAACCAAGTAATGATAGACTGTTGCGTAACAGCAATGTCTTCGTTCTAAAGAGTGTAAAGAAATAATCTCACTTTGACCTGCTGGAAAATAATTATTCTCTTTTTTGTGTGTGTGCGTGATCTCATTCAGTGTTTTAATTACCATTACAGGCTTTGAGCAAAATAATACAACTAAAGGAAGAACTACTGTAAAATTCTCAGGGAAAAATGAGAAAAACCGATTTCCCAGAGCTGCTACATCACGAACAGAAAGAATATGGCCAGGGGGGGTCATTCCTTATGTAATAGGTGGAAATTTCACTGGTAAGCTTTGTGCTTTGAATGGGGAGAAGAAATATGATTTTTTTTAATTGCACCCTCTCTCCCCCCCTTTTTTTTAAAGTCAAGTCGTACTATGGAATTCAATAGAAGGGTTTCCGTTGGATCAGGCCTGAAGTACATCTGTTCTGAAAATAATAGTCATGCTTCAAAAAAATTGTTCCCAAAGGCAAGCTACAGTATAAAAATGTATAACTGTGTTTTAGAAATGGAAGGCTCTTTTTCTTTGCCTGATATTTCTTGTTACATGTTTGTTTTCAAGAGCCTAAGTAACAGAATGTCATGAAATCTGTTTTTTAAAAATTGCAGGATGTTTAGCACAAGAATAGAACTACTTTAACTGGTGTGACGTATTCTGCTGAACTGATTTCAATGAAAAAACTGACTCAAATGCATCTTGTAATTCCTCAGTTTGGTTTTCAGAAGGGTACACACAGACATTCTATATGACAAGAAGAAAGACTGACTTCAAAATATGTAGAATTCTTAGAAGAAAACTGTAGAAAAATTTTAAAACATTTGTTATCCTGAAAAATGTAAATGGGTCAATTCAATATCAGTATGGATGCTGGAGATAATTTAAAAAAAAGAGGAGGGAGAAAAGCAAAGATGGATGGGAAAAGATATGTAATAGCATCTTATTTATTGCGCACAATAATACAGGGAACGAGAAGAAACATGCAAATGCTCACACATTGTATGTGTGTGGAGACATCAAAGCCATTCCTTTCAAACTGACAGCTACAGTCAAACTTTGAGTTTGTGTAATTACATAGTACTATACCAAATGTGACCTTTGCTTTAGGATTACCATCTTCTGAAATTATGGTAGTAAACTAAATGAAAGCATATCATGTTAAACATTTTACCTTTTTCATAATGAAAAATAAATTCTAAACCTTGGCAAACATTGCTTAAAGATAAAAGAAAAGGTCAAGATGGGATGAAATAACCTTTAATATTTAGGATCCTGACATGATTTGAACTTGCTGTTTTTATGAACTTTGAGGTTTTGTTGTTTTTAAGTTTAAACAAGTTTGTTTTGTTGTTTTTTAAAAATTATCCTGTGCTGTAACATGCATCTTTGCAAATATCTGCAAGTTGGATGCCTTTCTGTTAGCGAATTCATGGCAGATAGTAGTGTTCTTTGTGGATTTCTAGCTCAGAAGTAATACAGCTATATTCTTAGACACTGCCTCTAAATTAATAAGCCTTGTTTTTTGTCAGGCAATGAAATTATGTAGCTACGCTACCTGAAGTACTGTGTACTAGCTGGCTTTGTGTTCTGTGGTGAATGCTGGCCTTGCTGCTTCTGCATCCAGAGTATAGTTTTGATTGTTTCTGAATGCGTTTCTCATTTTTAAAAGAAGTGTGCAGGTATGCTTAGTATTGTACGAAACTAAGAATTTTCCCCTTTTGGTGGATCATTTGGTTTCTGAAAGGTTTTGATGCAAAGAAGTGGAGACTGGTCCCTGTTCAAGACCGAATTATTAAAATCAAATGCCTTGACTGGTGTGCCTGTTTACACGGCTTAGGTTAAATAGGTCTCCAGATTTGAAGGCTGTAGGAATTTCTTTTTTTTTTCTTCTGGGTAGATAGCTAGGATCCAGGGTTCCTCAATTTTCTTTCTTATTTTTTTCTTTTTCTTTCCTTTTTTTCCCCCCACTGTGGTCCACTTGAGAGTTTCATCTGGGAAAATCGCTTAGCAAATATTATGCTAATGCAGGCACATGAACAACACTAAATTTCTGTTGCTGTTTTCCTCTGGTGTAACACAGCCGTGCTTTTTATTGGATGTTTTGTGTTTGCTAGAGTGTGTCGGGCAGTATTGGTGCCCTTGCAGGCAGATACACTGTGATGAGATGACGGCCTGAATATCCCTGAAATCTGGCAGTAGATGGGACTGCTGGGACACAGGAGTTCATGATCCAGTGACTGCTTACAGGCCTATATTCCTTGTATTGAAATCTCATTTTAAGGAACAAGACACAGTTAGAGAAGTCTCCTGTCTGATCTCATACAATTATTCTTTCAGGCACCCAGCGCGCCATGTTCAAACAGGCTATGCGGCACTGGGAAAAGTACACGTGTGTTACATTTATTGAACGAAGTGATGAAGAAAGTTATATTGTATTTACATACAGACCATGTGGGTAAGTGAGTATGCATGGTAACAGACACTTGTGCTTTCAGTGTTTGGCCGTGTTTGTCCACTTTGCAGTTATCGGTGAATATATACTTCACAGGAAAATGAATAGATCATTACTGCATTTAAATGATGCCTGTGTTCTGCTTGGCTTTGGGTTCATTGAAAGCAGTGTGTATAGTAACTTTTGGAAGTTATGCCTCTTGTCTATTTGTAGATAAAATGACCTTGCTATATATACATAAATATGAGACTTTTTTGTTTGGCGTTCTGTCATGCTTTTAATATATGTATAGTTCTAAAGGTATTTCAGGCTTATTGTTTGTTTATTCTTAGTTTTCTCCATGTTGCGTGTTTACTGTTGCATTATGGATGGACATCTATCCCATATTTATTTTTCAGCTTAATTACTGTTAATTGTAATTTTAATTCTCATATTGTTGGACTATCCTTGCTCAGATTTGTTTATGTTATGTCAATTCATGACTGTTTTGCAAACTCCTCCTTCCAGATCACTGATGTGTAAATGTGAACAAAAGAAGTTCGATTACTCTTCAGTGCAGCTTTCCATTAATCACCATGTTCTGTCTTCAGCTATTTCTGCTCACAAATGCCTCAGTCAGCTATGTTTCTTATTTATTCCACTCAGAATTCTTAATTTTATACAGTGGTCAGTGGCATTCCTCAGTGCACCATGTTCATTTTCTGCGTACGCTACCTGTGGAAATACTGTGCTTCTGATAGTCACCTTCTGTTTGGGCTGTAGCCTCCACAGTGAACAGCACATTGTCTTCCTGACTTTCTGATCATTGACCACTTTGCATGCCTACTTTTGCATTTTTGTGGGATAGGGTTGTGAAAAGAAGCTTTGGGATCTGCTTGTGTTGTAGGAATGATCCTGAATGTACTTAATTATAGCCCATAAAATTACATGTAGACTTATTTGCTTATATTACCCCGACGTTCTTCTTAAGGCATAGGACAACGTAATAAAACCCACTTAGGCTATTTTAAGAAAGGCATCACCTTTTCCTTGGAAAGTCTCTGAGCCACAGATGCTTGCAATCAGGGAACTTATTCTGTGGGAGCACCTGTGAACTTACCTGTCATGTTCTTGTGCTCCTGTAGGTCTGCTGTAGACCCCTGTGAGAAGCAGTGCCAAATGCAATGGACTTCTGTTCTGACCTAGCATGGCTATTACTTTAGTTAATGATGCAACCTGTAAGGTAGGATTCAGGGATACTGACATATAGCTGGAAGAGAAATGGGAAACAGAGGATAATCGTGACTGTTCCCTGCACTCACAGAGGTAGAAAGCAATGTGAATTTGAATGGAAGAGTGTGAAAGATATAAGTGGTCTCAGGCACTTTAGAAAGAAAAGTATGGGGATATCTACAGAGACCTTGGTTTTGTGAAAAGTGAATTCTACAAAGTGCCAAATGACACAAAATCTCTCCAGCCAAAGCACTGCTCCTTAGGCTGGTTGATGATTCAGGAGATCAAGTCACTTTAGGGTGAAGGCTGGATTATAACAAATTTGAACCAGAAGGTAGGAATATAGTCAGTATCTACCTTCAAAGTCACCATTATCCTTTACAGTTAATGTTATTTTATTGGTGGGTACTTTACAAATTACTAATAATTTACAAAGGCTGTAACAAGTTTAAAATAAAAACAAGGAAGAGTGTGGCTACAAACAGTCCACCAGTGACTGAAAAAAACAGGCTAAACATAAGGGGCAGTTGAATGGCTTTTTGGGGGGTCCTGGATCCACCAGCCATTTCAGGATGAGCCAGATGAAAGACAACATAGCTTCTCTGGGTGAATAGGAGCTACTGTGCGCTAACCATGTGCATACAGTGCTGATACAGAATTTTCCACGGGAAGGGCCCAGACAAAAGCGACACCAAACCATCTGCAAACACTTGCTGCTACATGGCCAGTCACATTGGAATTAATCTCGGTTCTTTCCCATAGCACCCTGCTGTGCTGGTTTGTTAGCACATTGTGTCATTATTGTCTGCAGTACCATGGCAGCTAACATTCACAGATGAGGGAGACTTTATTGTGCTTAGCACTGTTGAAATTAAAAACTAAGTGATAAACCCTGCCCCAAAGAGCATGCAGTCAAAACATAACACATTTAATGAAACAGAAAGAGGATACAGTCATATATGTGCAAATTCAGGTGGCAATATCTACAAATGCCTCAGATTACAACATTAGCACACTAGCAAGTCAAATGTTATAGAGCCTTTGTAAACATTAGGCTCTTTCAAAATATCCTTGATTCATTACTTCTTGCAGCAGTTCATGGGAAGCTCATCCCAGAAGGGGCAGTGATGAAAAAAGCAAATTTGAAATACAGCAGCTGGTTATCAAGAGGTACATGACCTTCCAAAAATTGAGAGTTTGTATACCGGCAATGAATGAGAGATGAGCTTTGATTATCATAGACCCATAGGACTGCAAGGAATCTCAGAAAGAGGTCTAATGTATTCTTAAGACAGAAACAGCTCTACCTAAGTCATTGCTGATACAAGGTTGTCTAACTCGTTTCTAAAAACCTGCAAAAATGGATGCTTCACAGCCTGCTAGGAAATGTATTGCTTCGGTATCCTCTATGTGAGAAATGTAGGAAGTCAGGGGCAGTATTTTTGGTCATAGCTAAACCAAATTTTTCTTGCTGTAATTAACGTACATTAACTTTTTTTCCTGCTCACCATGGCCATAGAAAATAGATTATTGCTCTTTCTATTTTGAAGGAAACTATTAGAGACTTTGAGACTGTTATTGTGTCCGCCCTCAGTTCTATTTTCTTTTAGGCTAGAAAATGCCTAATTCATTTAATCTTTGATGGTAAGTCATGTTTTCTAGGCCTTTGATCATCCTGTTTTTCTCTTTGAGATTCTTTTCAGCTAGTCCACATTTTTCTTGAAATTGAAATTGAGGACTCAAAACTAGGGCATGTTTGTCCAGATGAAACATTACTTCTGCTGATCCAGCACTAGGCCTAATTCATATATTACGTAGTCTCTCCTTCCACTTAAGTACCTAAGCATGGTGCCTCCCTGAGATCAGTTAATCACTGAAATATTGTTTCTTAGTACAGCTGAAGCACTAACTTAGTAGTTTAAAGTTTTGTAAGTATTGATAGTCATTTGTGCCCATTAGCTGCAGGTGTGAGAATCACTAGAAGATACTGGTGTTTATGATTCTTCTACCAAAGCAGTGCACATTGCATTGATATCTATTACAGCAAATATCTAGACAGCTAGTTGATGAGGGCAAGTAAAACTCTAATCCGTAAACAGGTTGAAAACACACTGTTCACTAGTGCTTTTCTATCCTTATGTTGCTTACGATCAGATAGGAAGTGTCTGAAGATGCAGTCAGTATACTTTTCTATGCAAAGCCAAAAAAGGGATCAGCAAACTGGGATGGCCTCTAGTCACATGCTCTTAATAAATATTCTGAGTACAAGATCAAGCTTCTTTTTATATAGTGAGACGAAAAAAGAACAATTAGTCATATTGTTCTGGCATCTCAGCATGCCTTTGATCTGACTTTGTGGCAATTTTGTTCTCCACCAGAAGACTTAAGTACTTTTTATGACAAACTTTGGATGACTTATTACAAGCACTGCTATATCCTCTTGTATGGGTATTTGACAAAGCTGTCTGAGATACAGGAAAATCAGATCTCTTTCATGTGCTTCTCCAAACATTGTAGACTGAACAGCTTCTGAATGTTTTAATGGTTTTTGAACTTACTAGTCTATTAAATAGGCATTACAGACAAGTTCTTAAAGTCAGTGAAACAGCTAAATTCATCGCCCGAGGTACACTTTTGTAGCATACTTTAGCTTTGAGAAGGATTACATGTTATAAAAGACCTCAATCACTTCTATGGAATGAGAAGAAATTTCGAGTTGTGCTAAATAACCTGTGGCATGAGTGCTGACTCATGCAGTCAGGTGGTAATTCACGCTAGCAGCTGCTGCTCTCCCTACCCACAACAGCTGACCCAGCTTCTCTGCGGGTCGTGGCATGGCCTGCAGGGTGGGTGCAACCAAGGAGCAGGGGACCAGCTGCCCTGGTCTAAAACACAGTGTAGTGACAGAAACTGAACGAGGGGTGATTTATGCTAATGCACCGGGATAGGCAGCTGTTACCTGAGGAATGGACTCAGTTGGCTGTTCTTCGTAATGTTGGGATGGTCATCTCCATTGAGAAGGTGAAGAAGCAGTAGCCACTTCTGCCATTGCAACAGGTCCTCTTAGGACAGTGAATCAGAACATTTGGTAGCTACAACTGTATTGATCCCTGACAATAAGCAAATTCATCAAGCCAGGTCATAGCCAATATCTCCTTTGTACAAAATGAGTTATATTTGTGATTGAAAGAGGTGTGTTTTCACGAAGAAAAAGCCCTCCTCTTCTCAAGTGAGTTTTTGTTCATTAATTTTCTGAACTTTTGCTTGCTTTGTGATGATACAAAGTCCTAGTATGCTTGTGAAGTTCTCCAGTTTTTCATCCACAACTTCATACGATCAATGCCATGGCAAGCTGATGTTGTGGTCTGTGAGGATATTTATATTATCACGTTCTGAAGAGTGCAGCTTTTTAAAAAACTGAAACATTGACCCACCCTGATTCTCTCTTGCTTGATATTAAGAGGAATTGTGACAGTAGCTGTATTACTTAAAAGAATGAGCATATTGTTCCAGTCTTTTAACTTTCTCTCTGTCATTTGTTTCTCTTTGCTCACCATCATTGATCAGCTAGACTGATTAAATGGAATTAGAGATTCATAAATAGTTACTGCCTCCAACTGCTGTCTGGTGCAATAAAGATTAAAGGGATGAGGAGCTTTAAAGGCTGCGTGTTGACTCAATTTAAGGGGTATGACAAGTGCTCATACAACACAGAGAGGTCTTGGCTTTTTGCCACACACACCTGGGGTCAAACCCATGATACTGCAAATTAATTTCTTTCATAGATTTAT